CCCGGCCCGCGCCGCCTGAGCCTGCCCGCCCGCGCCATGGAGCCCGGCCGCGGCGGCCTGGAGGCCGTGGGCAAGTTCGAGTTCTCGCGCAAGGACCTGATCGGGCACGGCGCCTTCGCCGTGGTCTTCAAGGGGCGCCACCGCGAGGTGAGGCGCCGCGCACCGGACGGAGCCCCACGAGGGGACCCCGCGTCCCCGCCGCCGGGGACCCCTCACTCCCCGGGACCCACGCCCCGGGACACCCACACCCTGGGGACCCCCTCATCCTCCCGGAGGGACCCCTCACGCCCCAGGACATCCACACCCTAGGGACCCCCTCATCCTCCCGGGACCCCTCACCCCCAGGGGACCCACACACCTTGGGACACTCACAGCCTCTGGGGAGACCCCTTCATCCCGCCCGGGGACCCACACCACCAACTACTGGAAGCCTCCCATCCCCCAGGAACCACCCCCCCCAACCCACTCCTACACTCTGGGGACCCTCTCATCCCCCGGGCGACCCCCACCACTGGGACAGCCAGGTGCTTACCTGGTCTGAGGCAGCCTTCGAGGGGTTCCCGGCCCCTGAGGAACGTGGGCGCTTGGTTTTCAGAAGCACGACCTGGAGGTCGCGGTCAAGTGCATTAACAAGAAGAACCTTGCCAAGTCCCAGACGCTGCTGGGGAAAGAAATCAAGATCCTCAAGGTGAGCTGGCGGTGGAGGGACGGGGGAGAGTGTGGGGGGCGAGCCGCCTCACTCACGGGAACCTGGATTTCTGTCCTAGGAGTTGAAACATGACAACATCGTCGCTTTGTATGACTTCCAGGTAAGTCTGGGGCTGTGCTGCGGTGTGTGGGGAGGGGGTGCGTTCCCCTCAGGCTAGCCAGAGCACAGCCGGAGGCCCTGATGGCGTGTCCCGGGCTAGCCTCCCAGGCTAGCCCAGTGCTGGAGACCCTGGAGAACAGTGGGCTGTTCTGGGCCAGTCTCATGTCGGAGGGAGGAGCTGGGCCCCCCCACCTGGAGATGGGTGTCTGGCCTGCCCAGCTCTGAGACCTGACGGGCCCTGGAGACCCTGTCCTGGGCCCAGTCCTGGGGCCTGGGCTTCCTCTGGGCATGTGGGGCGAGTTCCCAGCTTCGCTGCTGCCTGACTGCCACAGGCGCCAGCAGTGGACCGTGGGGCAGGGTGAGTTACTCTGACCGGGTGAGGTCTGGCTACAGCGTGACCCTCCAGGGGTGTCTGACCCAGTGGCTCTGACCATCAGCCCTGTCTCCAGAGCAGGCCCGGGGCAATTCTGCCGGCCTGGTCCACCTGTCTGGGCTGGCCGATTGTTTGTTGACATTGCTCCACGGCCTGGCATTGGCCAGCCTCTCCCTGCGTCAGACGGGGGGAGGGGAGGGGCCGAGGGAGATTCCTTCTTGCTGGCAGTTGGGGCTGGCCACCCCAGGAGGAGGCAGTCGCCTGTCTGGTGAGGCCACCTTAGGCCTAGCCCGCGGCTGGCTCCACCCACAGCCCTCAGGGCCGTGGGGCCCAGCCTTGGCAAGGGCCTGGGACCCTGGATGCCCAGTTTGGGGACTGGGAACCTGAGGCGGCAGATCTGTGGGCCAAAGTGCTGACTAATGGTTTTGAAACCTGTTTACTGAGGCCACGGGACCAGCCCCTGGCTGAGGGGAAGTTCCCGGCCCGGCTGTCTGTGTTTTGGTGGCCTCCTCCCTCCTCCCCTGGCCTTTCCCTCCCCCTTCAGAGCTGGGCTGTGGTATGACATGGGGTGACTTGGGCAGGGCCCAGGTCAGTGTGACAGCGAATACCTGGAAGCCAGGCAGGAGACACTGTCCTGGGGCCAGGAGGGCAGCCCCCTCCCCCCTGCTCCTCCTCCTCACTCCCTCCTCCCTGTCCTCCCCTCCCCTCTCCTCCCTTGTCCCTCCTCCTCCCCTTGTCTATCCCGGCCACACACCTGGCTGCGGGCAGCCCTGCCACTTCTCCTGCTCAGAGGAAGTGCTTAGAGGCAGCGTGGCCTCTCCCCTCCAGGGGCAGGCACCTCTCCCCTCCAGGGGCAGGCACCTCCGCTGGGGCTTGGTGCTCTCACCCCTCGGGGTGCGGGGCGGTTCCCTGAGTCTTTAGACTCCTGTCTGAGACACACACGGGGCCCAGGAAAAATGGCTTTTAAAAATAGATAATGATTTGGCTCAAAAGAAAAATGAAATAGTACAAAAGGGGATGAGGAAAAAGTAACTCCTATCCCCTGTCCGGTGGGGATCCATCCTCCCCAGAGGCACCCACATCTATGCTGGTTGTTTCTGCGTCTCTCTGGGGACAGGAGCACATTCTCACATACTCCTCACCGCCACACCATCCACTGTTCTGCACTATGGCTTTTTTCACTTAAGCATGTATCTTGGAGAAGGTTCCGTGTCACTCCATGTAACTATCTCAGTCCATAAGTCAGAATTGACCCCCCTCTCTTCCCAAGAAAATTACCTGCGGATTCCTTCTTCAAGGTTACCACCTCTAAGCACAGTGGTCCAGAGCCCCAGACTCAGAAGCTAGACGACCTGGTTCCAGTCCTGGCTGTGCCACTTAAAAGTAACTGTGTGTCCTTGGGCGAGTGTCTTAACTTCTCTGTGCCTCCATGTCTTCCTCTGTAAAACAGAGACCATGCAGTTGTTTGGTTGAAACTGGTCATGGTAAGCACTGTGTGAGTGTTGGCTGCTATTGCAGTTGTTGCTGTGGTTGTTATTTGCAGCTGGTTGGTGTTCCATTGCCCCATATTCCATATCTGACTTCGCCAACCCCCCCGCAGAGGGACAGGAGGTTATTCTGGGATTCTGCCACATCAGCAGTGTGGTGGTGACTGTCCTCGCACTCACCTTTGCCACGTGTGTATCTGCAGGGTGGATTCCTAGAAGTAAATCCCTGGGGAAGAGGAATGCATGCTTTCCGTTTGGGATAGTTGCCAAATTGTGGTCCACTGAGGCTGGACCAGGGCCTCCTAGAGGCACTGCGTGCGGGAGGGCCTGTCTCGCCTTGTCCTGGCCAGGAGGTGGGTTATCATCTTGTCATCTTGGCCCGTCTGAGGGTGGAAGATGGCGTCTCTCATGGTTTTGATTCTCACTTGCTGTGAGTGAGGCTCAGCATCTCTCCATGTACATGTGAGTGTTAGGGATACCTCCTGTCCTAGGCGCATGGTCCTGTTGGTCTTTTTTACTGAGGCTGGATGGCACTGCGGTTACTGGCATGGGCCCTGAGCGAGCTCCCCCATTTACTTACCTGTGCGACTTTGGGCTGATTACTCTGCCTCTTGGTGCCTCAGTGTTACCTGTAAAATGGCAGATAATAACAGTACACCTACGTACGTTGTAGGGTAGTTGTGATGACAACTTGATTCGATGTATGTTAAGTGCTTAGATCTGTGCCTACTACATAGTAAGTACTGTATAAATGTTATTGATTTGTAGGAGCTATTTATATGTTAAGGAAAGCTCTCTCTTGATAGGTTGCAAATACTCCCCCTCAGGTTGTTTCTTGTCTGTTGAAGTGGTTTTGTTTTGGGGCCGTGCAGAATACATACATTTGTCGAGCCAATATGGGTGCCTGGGAGATGGGCCCCTTGGATTGTGTCTGTTCTGAGGCCCCCAGACCCTTGTGGAGGTGGCGGCCCCGGGCCTTCCATTGAGTGGTAGAAGAGTGGCCCTTGGTCTCAGCCCAGTGTGCTGTGCGGTGTCTGGATGTGTTCTTGCCCAGGGACAGTGGCCATCGCAGGAATCGGGGTATAGACTGTGCAGCCAGGACCAGCCCTGCCCAGCATGCCCTGGGAGGAGGGCTGATGGTCACGGGCCTTGCTGACAGTGACCCTCCACCCTCCCCCTCCCAAGGCCAGCACGCTGTCCAGCTGGTTCCTACAGCTGGACGTGACTCATTCACCCCGGGCAGGCGGGCAGACAGAGCCTGCTCCTTGTGAGTTATAGCGTGGGGACCTCAGTCGAGGGGAGGGGCCTCCCCTTACTCTGGGGCCTTCCAGGACGGTGTCAGCTCTCGGCCTGGCTTGTTCCAGAGTCCTGGCTCTTGGTGATGGGCTCCGTGAGCCCAAGATGCTCCCCTTCCCTGAGAGGACAGGGCTGCCAGGCTAGGCCTGAGGGTGGGTGGGATTCGGGCAGCACGGAAGCCCCTTGGGACCAGGTTCTAAGGCAGGGGCCTGTGAGTAGGCCTGAGGGGCCGGGCAGTTCTGGAAACTGCCTGCAAAGTTGTGTTATTGTTGTTTTATCTATTTTTTAACTTAAATTTTGAAGTATATACATACCAGACAGTGTAAAACGCAGATTACAAAATGCTTGGTAAAGGAGGCACCTGTTGGGCCGGCCCGGTGGCGCAGCGGTTAAGTTTGTGCATTCCACTTCGGCGGCCTGGAGTTCGCCAGTTCGGATCCTGTGTGTAGACCTACTGACCACTCGTCAAGCCATGCTGAGGCAGCGTCCCACATAGAAGAACTAGGAGGACCTAAAACTAGGATATACAACTGTGTACTGGGGGCTTTGGGGAGAAAAAAGAACAGAGAAAGATTGGCAACAGATGTTAGCTCAGGGCCTATCTTCCTCAAAAAAAAAAAAAAATGAGGTACCTGTGTGACTCTTAGGCAGGTGACAAGTAGAACTTGGTTAGCCCCTGAAGCCCACCCCTCAAATTCCTCCCCACCGGAGGGACCCTGGGTCCTGCCATCTGTGGGGACTTCCTCCTGGCTGGCGCTCCTGCACCTGGGCCCTGGACACCCACAGCCCATCTGGCCTGTCTTCGCGTGCCCTCGGCATCATGCTGGGGGTGCTGTGTCTCTGCTTGTGGGTGGCATCCTGTCCTGGGCCATCCTGAGACAGTGCCCGGGACAGAGCTGCCGTGGGCATTGTGCATGTTAGATCTGCAGTGTCACAGGGCTGCACACCAACTAGGGCTTCGTGGGTTTTGTGGAGGAATGTGTAGATTCTCTGTTTTCCAAGGGGTTGTACCAGCTCATGCTCCCCGGCCCTGAAAGTGTTCCCTGCTTTTCCTGGAGCAGGCCAGGGGCAGGCCGGGCTGCGGGCCCCCAGGATGCCGCCAGCACACAATGGGCAGCTGAAGGAGGCTCCTCAGGAAGGAGGGTGTCCCTTCCCTTCTGGGAGCTGTCCGGGAGAGTCCAGCCTGGGGGCAGGAGCAGCTCTGCTCCTGTGGGCGGCTCTGTGCTGGCCTCAGCTGTGGCTTTTGCCACCTTCTGGAGCCAGGATGGCTGGCTCCCAACGAGTTAACTAGGTCAATGCTGCCTGCCCGGCCCCCCACCCACCAGGTAGAAACTGGGATCCTATTAAGCAAAGCACCTTAGCGCCTCGGGGCGGGGTGGCCTCCTACGTGCCCAGCCGCCCGTGCAGGGCTGCCCCAATCACCTGCCCTGATGCCCGGGCCAGCCCTGTCCCCAGGGCCTGTGGGCACGCCACCGAGAGATGGCTCTGTTTCTTCCTCCGTTTAAAGGCTGTGCCTAGTTGTCCGCCGCAGGTGCACAGGTTGTGGTTCATCGCTCCCTCCACTGCTGCACAGTGGAGTCCCCTCCCTTGACGGCTGTGTGCCTGGAGCAGAATTGCAGCACCTCTCTGTGCCCCATTTCCTCCCCTTACATAGGCTCCGAGATCGATCGGCCCTGCCAAGTCCTAGGGTTGCGGGTTGACTATGGGCCAAGTGATGAGGGGGGCCCTGGGTGTTCACTGTAGGACGCAGGGTCTGGTGGGCCCATGCTCCTGCCTCGGCCGCGTTTGTATGTACATGTTAATAACATAACAGACTCCTGAGAACCTGCCACCTGAGGGCAAGAACACAGCCAGGAGCTCCCGTCTGCCTCCCCCAGGAGGTGAGCCCTCTTGGGAGCGGGTGGTCATTAAGACCCTCAGGCAGCTGGTTTGGTCCTTTGAAGTGTCTACACTGAATCTAGACTGACCCCCAAGGAGGTGGCTTGGTGCCTGGAGCTGGGTCCTCGCTCACTGCCCAGGGGAGCTTGTGAAAACCAAACTTAGCCCCTGCAGGAGCCAACAAAAATGAACCCTGAGGCTGTCTGGGTTATGGGTGGCCGGCAGACTGGGCAGGCAGAGGTCAGCTGTGGCCACCAAGGCCGTGCTGGCATCTCCCTCCCCCCTGGGGGGCCCAGAGAGCCAGCTTCCCCCGGACAGGGGTTGGGGACACCCAGCAGTGACTGCGTGCCCCAGATGGACGGGGCGACTGGGCCCTGAGGGGGGAGGGGCCTGTGCACGCACCTCCTTGAAACAGCACCCTGCCCAGGGTCCGGGAGATGTGCTGCTGGCAGTGTGGTTGAGCCCCACCTTCTTGTCCCTGCCGGGGCTGGTGCCAGTGCTGCCGGGAGCTCCTGGGACTTGGCTTGGCCTTGGCATGAGGGGAGGCTGAGGACACACTCCAGCCAACCTCTGCTTCCCAGCCCTCAACACCTTTCCTGACCTTGTCTGGGAATGGTCTGGGCTCCTGCTGGCTGGGGGAGTTTGCGCACAAAGGCTGACCCGCTCTGAGCGCCTCCACGGGCCCAGCTCACAGGCAGGGAGACAGGCCCCCCAGCCCGAAGGGGCTGTCTGAAGCTGTCCTCTGTCCCAGGGTGGTGGGGAACCCTGAGTCTGGGTGTCCTGGGTCTCCCCGGCCTGAATGCCTGATGGCGAGTGGATGTGGCCCCAGCCCCACTGTGCTCTGTGCCTGGGAGGGCCTGCTGGGGATGAGGCTGACCCCGGGTCCAGGTGGACGCTGAGTGACCCCCCGCCCCAGGTGAGGGACAGATAGAGGTAGGAGAGGAGCTTGGACCCCCACAGCCCCGTGCATCCCAGAGCCTCTGGTTTCCCCTGTTCATTGAGGGGCCGTGAGGTGCCAGGAAGGCTTCAGGTAGATCTCAGGGAAGGAGGCCTCTGGGGAAGTGACAATGAGCTGTGACCTCCTGCAGGGAGGGGCTGGGACCCATGAGCCAGCGGCAGGACTGAGTGGGGACTGGGGTGCCCTGGGGGGACCGTGGGCTGGGGTCTTGGGCGGGAGGGCACCTGATATTGCATTTGGAAGCTTACCCTGGCTGGAGTGTGGGGATGGGGGTGGAGCAGGGGCCATGCCCTGGGTGGAGGTTTTGGGGGTTCCTAGGCACCAAGGGGACTCTGTTGTTACTTAGGCCTCAGGGACCTCCTGTCTGCGGGAGGGTATCGTGGGTTCTGGGGGCACCCCTGCATTTGGAGGGAGAAGTGGGCAGGGCAGTGGTCGTACCTCCAGCCTGCAGCCTGCTCTTTCCCACACAGCCCACGCATGGTGTTGGGGTGCCTGCCAGTCCTGGTGGGCGACTCCCTGGGGATGCTCAGCAGGGATGCCTGCTGCATCTGTCCTTGTCACTTTGTCCTGCCTGTCCTGGCTCCGTGGGTGAGTTTGGGGCTCTCCCAGGGAGCAGGGTGCCGACCGCCAGGAGGACGGGCTAGAGCTTGAGGCTCCTGGGCCTGAGTCCTGGCTCAGCCCCTCCGTCTGTGTGGTCCAGGGCAGGGGGCTCAGCCTTTCTGGGCTGCTCAAGACAAGAGTGCTCGTAGTGCCCCCCCCACCCTCTCCCACCCCAGAGCTCACTGGTGAGGAGTAAATTTGGGAGCACACTCAGCGTGTCACCAGAGGTGGCCGCGGTCAGGGTGACGGCAGGCAAGGGAGCAGGTGGCCTGGGTGTCACGGGGAGTGGGTGTTGCGATCTCCTGGGTTTTTTCTGGGTCCTTATCTCTGGCACCTCCCTCTGCCTTCTGCTGGGTCCTCTGCCTGAGAGCCTCCCACTGCCCTCCTGGCTGTAAGAGGCTTCTTCTGCCTCCCCCCATCGTGATCTCGCTCCATCCTGGTCTCTCTGTCTCCCTCTGGCCCCAGCCTGCCCAGCCGTCCCATGTGACTGGGTTTTCTCCGGTACCTGCCCCTGTGTTATCTCTCTGTGGCAGCTGCCCTGGAAGGCTGTGCCGGCAGGCGGGGCTGAGGCGGGCTCCTCTGCTCTCTCTTTCTCTGCTGTTTGGGGATCCGGGACCAGTCAGGCCTGCCCCTCCCAGGCAAGGCCAGCTAGGCACTTTGGAAAGCTTCTGTGTCCCTGCTGGGACACGCCCTGAGTGACGGGCCTGGGAATGCAGGGTGGAGGCATGCCAGAGCAGGCCTGCCTGTCGCCGTGCCCAGCTGGCACCAAGGGGTTTGTGTTGGCCTTGCACCCCGAGACACCACTCCACTCCTCAACTCACTGCCCGAGGTGTCCCTGCCCTGGACACAGAGCTCCTGTTGGTGAAGCTCTGGAGGTGTGGGGGGCTTCTCTTGTTTCAGGGGGCTGACATTTAAACACGAGGTGTCACCCATCTACTTAGTGTCCCCACTCCTTGTCCACTGCGTGTGGGTCTAAGCCCAGGCCCCGACCTCCTGGGGGCGGGGTGGCTGAGCCAGGGTCCTTTGTCCTGCCAGGACAAAGGGGGTCGGGGCATCCCTGGGTCATGAGCAGGGGTAGAAGGCAGTGGCCCACTGCTGTGGGTCAGGTCTCCGTGTCTAGGCCTCAGGTGCCCTCCCCCAAAGGCCACCTAGAAACGTCTCCTGTGCCATCTCCCCCACCCCCCCCCCCCCGTTGGGCCCCACACTGCTTTGAGAGAGCTTTGGGGCCAGCTCCCAGACTTACCCCTTGCACCGTGGAGCTTAGAAGTTGGAGCTGCCTGTGGATGGGGGCTTTTGCATTGTGCCGGGGCCCGGGGAGGTCCTCTGGTTCCAAGGCCCAGCCATGTGCTGGTGCTGAAGGAGTTTGGAGTCCTTGCTCCTGGCTGGCACAGCCTCTCCTCAGTTAGGGAAGACCCCACCTGGGGAAGGGCTGAGGGGACTGTTGGCAGGAGGCAGAGAGGTTAGAACTCTGCCTGCCTGGTTGACTTGGCTTCTTGGGCCTCAGTTTACTCGATGGTGACCTGGGATCTCAATGGCACCTCCCACCAGCTGCCTTGAGGAGGAAGTGCCCTGCTGCAGGTGGAGTCCGCAGGTGCCGCAGGGCCAGGCAGGCGCTGACTGTTGGCGATGGGGCGTCTGTGCACTGGCCTGGGCTCCTGGCTCCATCTCACTTTCATGGGGCTCAACAGAGCTGAGGATGCCAGCGGCACCCTGAGGCCATGAGTGACTGAGGGCCGAGCCAGAAGCTGGCCTGGTGCTGCTGATTGGCACTGGGCTGGCAGCACAGACTTATAATTTTGTTGGCATCTTTGATTCTGGAGCCAGGAGCCGAGCAGTTTCTGCAGCCTGAGGGGCAAGGCCCTTATACCCTGGCCATGTCCCTTCTTGGGGGCCTGGATGCCCCCAACCCCTGTGGGTGCACTGGGCCAGGACTTGCCCCTCATAGAACAGCAAGCTGAGCCCTTGGGAGGCAGGGTTCATGCTTGACTCCTGACACCTTTTGGTGACCTCAGCCTCTTCCCCAGACTTGGCAAATGGAGTGTTCTGATTGGCTGCTGCTCCTGTCACTCAAGCCCACATGCAAATAGCCTCAAAAACAAAACAAAACAGCAGAGCCCACTGGGCTCTCAGACGTCTTCATCTCCTGGCCACTAACCAACAGTCTAAGCACTGGCACGCAGGCCCCAGGGTCCTCCAGGCCAGCTGATGTCCATACTCCCTGGTCTCTACTGCCTGTAGCCCAGGTGGTGTGTGGAGGGCACCTGTGGGTGCTGGGTGCTCAGGTCACTCTGGGGCTCAGATGGGCCTCCCAGAGGGCTGCTGGAGTGAGGGGCAGGACGCCCTCCCCTCCACTTCTCACTGCGTCTTCTGTGTCCTGCAGGAAATGGCCAATTCTGTTTACCTGGTCATGGAGGTGAGTCCCTGCAGGCCTGGCTGTGAGGACAGGGAGGCCAGGCCTTCCTGGCTCCTGGGCCCCTTGTCACCTGGGGGTTAGGAGTTGTCCACATGTCTGTGGGCTTAGGGTCTCAGCACCAGGAGCCCTGGTGGTCACGGCAGGTGCCCGAGGGGTGACAAGCGCCGCCATTGACCTCTTAAGCACAGATTGCAGGGGACACCTACCCCGGGGAGGACACAGGGCACCCACGTGCCCAGGGCAGGGAGCAGATGGCCAAGCATAGGGCGGTGGGGAGACCTGGGCAGGGCTGGAGGGTCTGCCCTGGCTCCTGACCGAGATGTCACTGGTCCTTTGCAGTACTGTAACGGCGGGGACCTGGCCGACTACCTGCACAGTGAGTGGATGCCCCAGGACTGGGCTGGCTGCACACCCAGGCTCACCCTGACCCATGCCTGATGCGACAGCGGGTCCTCCTGTCGCCCTGGCCCCTGCTGGGGAAGATGGAAGGGGGAGCAGAGCCCCGTCACGGACAGCCTCGCAGGGTGGCCTCAGTCTGGAAGGGCTCCTCTTGAACGGGGCCCCGTGCGGTCTGCTGGGATGTGGCCCCTCAGACCTGCAGGGTCCCTGAGGTATCTGGCTGGCTGTTCTGCAAGGTGCTGGCCCGTCCTGAGCACTCTGAGTCCTCAGCGAGGCCTGGCTCACCGCAGAGGAGCGGGTCTCCCCAGAGCCCTGCCGCAGGTGGAGGCTAGCACCCTCTGTATTCACCGCCCCTCACGCGTTGAGGGCCGGGCACCTGGGTCGGGGGCGGGGAGTTGTCATCGCAAAGCTGCTGGCCGTGGTGCTGTCCTTGAGTAGTGGGGAGGCAGCTCCTGAGAAGTGATGAACTCAGAAAGGGGCAGGTTGTTGGGCAGCAGCACAGAGCTGGCAGTGGGGAGGAGACACAGCAGGTCGGAGTTGGGTGGCATGAGGGGCAGAGGATTCCAGACGGAGCTGGCAGCAGATGGGCTGGGGTGAACAGGAGCACGTGGCTGCGGTGTGAGTGATGGGGCCTGGAGACCGCAGGGGCTTCAGGCAGGGGACAGGGTTCCAGGGCAGTTTTCGGGGGGCATGGTGTGGGAGCAGTGCTGGGCAGGAGGCTCTCCAGCGGGGTCCGCGTCATCCTTGTCCTGTTGGGCTGGCAGTCCCTTGCCCAGGGGCCTGGGCGCGCTGCACCCACTGAGCCCTGTCTCCCTGCAGCCATGCGGACGCTGAGCGAGGACACCATCCGGCTCTTCCTGCAGCAGATTGCGGGCGCCATGCGGCTGCTGCACAGCAAGGGCATCATCCACCGTGACCTGAAGCCCCAGAACATCCTGCTTTCCAACCCCAGCGGTCGCCGCACCAACCCCAACAACATCCGCGTCAAGATCGGTGAGGCCAGCGGCCGGCGGGGCGGGGCCGGGAGGCCGGGAGGCCGCCTCCTCATGCGTCTGTCCGCCCGCAGCCGACTTCGGCTTCGCCCGGTACCTCCAGAGCAACATGATGGCAGCCACGCTCTGCGGCTCCCCCATGTACATGGTAGGTGGACTGCCCCCAGCCCCTGCTGCCCCGTGTCCGGAGCTGAGCCCAGCCTGTGGCCCCACCTCAGGTGGCCGCCTGCGTGGCTGTACCGATGTTTCCTGCCACGGCTGTGCATTGGGTGACACATGGCTGGTGTCTGTCCTGATTGGCTGGTGCCTGGCTGGTGTCCATTCTGATTGGCCGGTGCCTGGCTGGCGTTTGTTCTGATTGGCTGACACCAGACTTTGGTCAGTGTGCCCTCTGTCCATTCTTGCACTGACCTGTATGTCTAACACATGCAGGCCCCTGAAGTCATCATGTCCCAGCACTACGACGGGAAAGCAGATCTGTGGAGCATCGGCACCATCGTGTACCAGTGTCTGACGGGGAAGGCGCCCTTCCAGGTGAGTGAGCCCCAGCTCAGCGGGGGGCCAGTGCCGGGCCTGGGCGGGCTGGCCAGATCGCACCCTCCCCCGGGCGCTCAGCTCTGGTTCCCAGCATGCCTGCTGGTCACGACAGTCCTGCGGCAGCTCCCTTCACTAGAGTGAAGGGGCCTCCCAGCTCCCTGCTGGGCAGTCCTTTCAGGGCCGCGGCCAGAGTCCCCGCCGTCTCAGGGAGCATCTGTGTACGTCTGAACTGAGTTTCACGGCCTCGCTCCCACCCATTTTAATGCTGGCATGACCCATTAAATTGGTGTCGGGACCCCAAGCTCTGGGATGCGCCTCACATTTGGAAAGCAGTGCCCCACTGTGCAGTGGGACTCCAGAGGGCCCAGGGCTCTGAGCCCACACTGCAGGCCTGTGCACCCTGTAATGACCTCATGGCCTGAGCTGGCAGTCTCAGCTGTTGCCCATTTGCCCCACAGCCCTCTCTGACTGCCTGGTGACCTAGGCTGGCCCCATTCGCTCCCTCCACGCCTATCATATCCTCCCTGCGTGAGCTTGTGCAGGGCTGTCCCCCGGGGCACATCAGCCCCAGCAGGGCCGGGTGCTGTCTCGCTCTCAGCTGTACCCCCGTGCCTGGCACACAGCAGTGCTCAGTGAGTGAACAAGTGAACGAACACACGTGTGCCAGGTGTTCCGCATGGGGTACCCTGCCCGCTGGGAGAGGCGAGCTGATTCTGGGGCCCTTTTCTGGGGTGGGGTACGTGGGCTACTCATTAATTTCAAGAATCAAGCAACCAGTCACACCAGACCCCGGGGTGCACCCATGCCAGGCTGTGGACGGAGGCCTGGCTGCCCTGCTTCCAGCCTGCCTAGCTGCCCTTGTGCAGTCCCCACGGCTCCACAGCCTATGTGGGAGGACGAGGGAAGCCCGTCCCAGGAAGTGTGTGAGGGCCTGCGAGTCCGGGCTGGCAATTCTGGCCGAGAGACCGCAGGGGATGAGGCTATGCAAGGAGCAGTGGGGCAGTTACGCGTCGTCTCCCCACCAGGCCAGCAGCCCCCAAGACCTCCGCCTCTTCTATGAGAAGAACAAGACGCTGGTCCCCACGTAAGTGCCTCTACCCCTGGCCCAGGCCTCCGCTCCCTGCAAATCCCCCCGCCAGGGTGCCCTGTCAACACTGTCTTCTGGCCCCACCCCAGCATCCCCCGGGAGACCTCAGCCCCCCTGAGACAGCTGCTCCTGGCTCTGCTGCAGCGAAACCACAAAGACCGCATGGACTTCGGTGAGCACCCGGCTTGGCTTGGCCACCCTGACAGGCATGGGGATGGGACCCCCAGGAGCCCCTCCCCACTCATCCAGTCCTGAAGAGCTCACTGATTTGGGGCAGGGGTCTTTCTAGCTGTGTTCCTGGCACCTCCACATCCTGCTTGCTCCCAGCTCCCAAGGGCCACGCTGGAGGCGGCAGAGTGGGTTTCCCGGGTGCCCACAGCTCCTTTCCCGGTAGCACGGCTGTAAATCCCCCGGTTTTGCATTGGGAAGCACTGCTGGGAAAACCACCATCAGGCAGGTGGGTGGGGCCTGGCCTGGGCCAGATGGGGCAGATGTGTGGAGGAGCCGCCAGCTGGGGTCTGTCTCCTCCCTCTGTGCGTGGCGTGGTGCCGGCCAGGATGGGTGCCAAAGCCAGCTGGAGCACAGGCCCTAGGGAAAATCTGGGGGGGCCTCCTTCACCCCGAAAACCCCTGGAGTCACAGCCCTCTGAGGCATCGCTCACCCTCTTTCCGCCTGCAGATGAGTTTTTCCATCACCCTTTTCTTGATGCCAGCGCCACTGTGAAGAAGTGTGAGTCCCCTGAGCGTCCTGGGCTCCTCCCTCCCCACCCCAGGCTGCGACCACCCGGGAGGTGGGGTACTGGCTCCTCGGCCCTCCTCCAGCCCAGGGTGGCCTTGGGCCATTGCCCCCCGGGGCTGACTCGAGAGCTGTGCTGACTGGGTCAGCAGGTGTGCAGGGGCGGGGGCGGGGGGCCTCCCATGGGGCGGGGGCAGGGGTGTGGGGTGGTGAGCTGCCCTCCCCTCCGCTCCCCATCCCTGGTTTCTCTGTCTTGAGGGGCCCAGGCAGCAGCTGTCTGCAGCATGGGGTCGGGTGCTGTGGGGTGGGGTCTGCAGGGCCGGAGGGAGAGCGACCACACTGACTCCCCCCTCCACCAGCCCCGCCTGTGCCCGTGCCTTCGTACCCCAGCTCGGGGTCCGGCAGCAGCTCCAGCAGCAGCTCCACCTCCCACCTGGCCTCCCCACCGGTGAGTCACCTGCTGGGGGCTGGCCCTGGGCTCTGGGCTTCCCTCCCCTGGGGTTCAGAGCCGTGTGGACCTCAGTCAGGGCACTGCCTTTCTTTCTGTTGTGTTGTCTGATCGGATCAAGACGCAGATGGACACAGCCTGCCTGTGAAATGTCGAAGCGTTAGAAATAGGGGAAGGCCCTCCTAGCCCCCTCTGCACCTCAGAGGCCGACCTGATGGCCACCAGTCCACGTCCCTCAGGGCCTTTGTGCACGTTGAGCTCAGGTGTGTGGAGACACACAGGCCTCGGTAGACTTGTGTTCGAGGAGGCCGCCCCCCAGCGCATGTCCCCCTGCACCCCAACGCAGGGGTGGGGCGGGGTCTGCCAGGGGTGTGTACGAGGTCGGGGGGTCAGGGTTCAGGGCTCAAACCCCCGTCCCTCTGTGCATCCATCCTGCCAGGCGGGGGCCAGGGCCGGGCTGGTGGTGGAGAGGATGGCCGCTGCCCACGTCTGAGGCAGGTGTTCTAGACACCCCGTGTGCTGAGCGCAGAGCAGGGCCGTCAACCGGCAGCCTTCCCCTCTGCACATGTCCCCGCTGCACCACCCTGTCCAGGCCCTTGCAGGACAGATGGAGAAGGGGGGTCTCCCCAGGAGCTCTGTGGGAGCCGAGTGCTTCCTTCTGCCCTGGGTGGCGGGGTGGCTCCATCCCATGACTGTCCCCGTGTGGTCTAGGCCTGGCTTGGCGTGTAGCACCTCAGAGAAGAAAGGGGAAGAGTGGCTCACGGGGAGAATGAGGTGCCGAGCCCCATTCTCCGCCCCCACGGCCCTGGTCTCATGCGGGCCCTGCGGCTGAGTCTCAGTGCCCCCTCTGACCCCCAGTCCCTGGGGGAGATGCAGCAGCAGCTACAGAAGACGCTGACCTCCCCAGCCGACACCGCCGGCTTCCTGCAGGGCTCCCGGGACTCAGGCGGCAGCAGCAAGGACTCCTCCTGTGACACTGATGACTTCGTCATGGTCCCGGCCCAGTTTCCAGGTCCGGGGGCTGCCAGGGTGTGTGTGGGCGGGGGGACCCCATGTCCACATGTGTACTGGTCGCAGACTTGTCTCCACCCATGGGCCTTCAGGATGGGCTTCTAGGAGCTTCCACACCGGGTCAGCTTGGCCACAGTCAATGTCCAGTCCTGCCAGTGGTCACAGGCAGTCTGTGGGCCCAGGCCGTGCCCTCTACACTGCCCGCCCCGTGCCCATCTGCCCTCCTTGCATGTTGAAAACACCTATCACAGCGCCTGCTCCGAGGGCGGAGCTGCTGCCCACTCAGTATTTGCTGAGCGAAGGTGCTCAGACTGCTGGCGCTGGTCTGGCCTCCTCCAAAGCCCTGTCCTGGGGTCCTCATTCTGCTCGTGACCCTAGACTCTTGTCACTTGGTTTTGCTGCTCCTGGGCACCTCCAGACTCTTGGGCCTGGGCTGGTTGGAGCGGGCCCTGGTGTGTGCTGGGAATGGTGGTCACTCGTGCTGAGCCCGTCAGCTGGGCTCCGGCAGGGGAGGACAGCCCCTGCCCAGCCTCAGGTGGCACCAGGAGGGCAACGGGAAGACAGAGTCCCGGGAGAGGGGGACAGGCAGATGTGGGACCCAGGGGTCCTGGAGGAGGGGTCAGGCCCTGACTGGGAGCTGTGGAACACGGCCTAGTGTTGGCTGAAGGCTGGCGAGGGGGATCCCAGGGTCTCCCTTGAGAGCCCTGAGGTCCAGCCAGGCAAAGGGAATTCCCAGTACAAGTGACAGAAGTGGGGACAGGAGAGCTCTGGTCTCTGGGGCCCCACAGTGCCCACGCGCTGGGCCCAGCCTCACCTGTCTCCTGTCCACAGGTGACCTGGGGGCCGAGGCAGCCGCTGCCAAGCCCCTGCCGGACAGCTTGATGTGCAGTGGGTAAGCCCTGGCCTGGCCCCTCGTGTTTGGGGAGGGAGCACTGGCTCTTCCGGGTTGTTCTTTTGCTCTGCCTGGGTCAGATGACTTGGGTAGGGCCAGGTCTGCTGTGCCCAGTGCAGGACGGGGTCCTAGGGAGGGGCCGTGGTCTGCGCACATTCGGACTGAAGGTGCAACCCTGCCCATCTGCTCTGTCCCCACCAGGAGCTCGCTGGTGGCCTCGGCTGGCCTGGAGAGCCACGGCCGGACCCCGTCTCCCTCACCACCCTGCAGTAGCTCCCCCAGCCCCTCAGGGTAAGCAGGCGCCCAGGCTGGGGAGGGGCCGTAAGTAGCCCCTCTGGCCTAGAGCCAGAGTTAGGGCTTCCTTCGGTGTCATGGCATCCCCAGCCCTGAAGACCCTGCCTTCATTCAGGCCTGGCTGGACACCAGGTCCTCATAGATAGACCAGAAGAAGGGACTTGGGTGGAGGAGACATAGACCGAGGGGGGCGCAGCTGCAGGAACTCCTAGGGCCCGGCATCATCACCAACCTTGAGCCTGCAGGGCCGAGTGGACACGGGCTCCCAGAGCTGGCAGGAGCTGGCCCTGCCTTGCCATCCTCGACCCGACCTCCTACCATGTGTCCCACTGGCTGGTCCCAACCAGAAGTCACCTGAGGGCAGAGAGTGGCTGGGGTGGGGTGCAAACAGTCCCCAGTGCCTGCGTGGCAGCAGTGCTGGGTGTGTGCAGAGATGAGGAAGCAGGCGGCTCTGGTGGCCTCTGCCCCAGCATGTTTGGGCCTGGGGTTCAGCCCAGCACCCCGTCTCCAGTGACCCCCAACCTCTTTCTACCCACTGCAGCCGGGCTGGCCTGTTCTCCAACAGCAGATACGGTGCATCCGTCCCAATCCCAGTCCCCACTCAGGTACAGAACTACCAGCGCATAGAACAGAACCTGCAGTCGCCCACCCAGTACAAGACCCCACGGTGAGTGAAGGGGCACCCCAGTGCCAGACCCTACGGTGAGTGCAGGGGGCCCCAGTACCAGACCCCACGGTGAGTGCAGGGGGCCCCCTGGTGGCCAGGCATGTCCTGGAGAACTGTGGTGAGAACCTTCTAGAACCCACTTAGGGGCCGGGTCGTGGTGCATGCACAGTTGTGCCGGCTGCGCAGTGCATAGCTCTCAGGCCACCACTGGCTGTGCGGACACACTGGGCTTCTCGGTTTATCATGACAGCGTTTTGGTAGAGGTCAGTAAAGTGTCTTGAGTTTACAAAACCAATATTGATTTTGGCAAGTGTCAGCAGACAGCAGTAAATGACTTGAGTAGTTCACAGAAGGCCCTGTGGGCTAGTGGTTGTCCTGGCAGGGACCTCAGGCCTGAGGGTGCCCCGGGGGAAACGCTGGGGCTCCCCCCTCCTAGTTGTTGCTCCAGGCAGGAGGGTGAGGGGTCTGACCCTCCCGAAGGCTCCCTGGTGAGGCCCCTCATTTGAACTGAGGGGCTGAGCCATCTGGCCTGGGCGTGGCCCTCACTGGGCATGGCTGGGGGCCTTACCTCCTTGTGCCTGGCCCTGTCCCAGGTCCTCCGCCATCCGTAGGTCGGGCAGCACCAGTCCCCTGGGCTTTGCACGGGCCAGTCCGTCACCCCCATCCCACGCTGAGCACGGAGCCGCCCTGGCCAGGAAGCTCTCCCTGGGAGGGGGCCGGCCCTACACGCCGTCTCCACAAGGTGAGCCCTCAAGCCGCTGGGGCCGCAGCCTCTGGACTGGGTGGCTGGGGCAGGGAGGGCATGCTCTCACCCGGGCATGACCTTGGCAACTCCTCTTTCGTCCAAGTTGGAACCATCCCCGAGCGGCCAGGCTGGAGCAGGGCGCCCTCCCCACAAGGAGCGGAGATGCGAGGTGCCAGGTCCCCTCGTCCAGGTGGGTGCAGCCCCGGCCCCAGCCGTAAGGGTGGAGCTGGGGAGCCTGGAGGATACGGGTTGACCTCCGTGCTTGGGGCAGGGGCTGTTTTACTGTTCTCACAACCACCGTTTCTCACAAGTTAAAGGACGGTAGGAAACCCGTGAGACCGTCCATGTAAACACAGTTGAGCCGAGGTTATGGAGGCCGACTGCAGGGTTCAGCTGCCTCCTCCTCTCCCAGCTGTGTGATCTGCGGCAGGGTGTGATCTGTGCCTGTCTGCTCAGATGCATGGTGCAGCGGGTGGGTGGCCGTGAGGGAAGAGGGAATAATGAGCAGCCATGAGGGCTTCTCTACACCCTCAGGTTGGTGGTGTGGGCTGGGCTGGGCCGCCCCAGGACGGCAGTGACCGGGCCCGTCCTGTACTGTCCCAGGCTCCTCCGTGCCCGAGCACCCTCTGCACGCTACCGGGCTGGGCTGCCGCCTGCACAGTGCGCCCAACCTGTCCGATCTGCACGTCGTCCGCCCCAAGCTGCCTAAGCCCCCCACAGACCCGCTGGGGGTGGTGTTCGGTCACCCGCAGGCCAGCCCCCCGCAGCCATCCCACGGGCTGCAGTCCTGCCGGCCCCTGCGCGGCTCGCCCAAGCTGCCCGACTTCCTGCAGAGGAACCCCCTGCCACCCATCCTGGGCTCCCCCACCAAGGTAATGGGCCCAAGCTCCAGGTGGGTGCCCTCTTGGACCAAAGAGGGTGGCTCTGTCCCGAGGACCCTCTTCCCACCTACCTGCTCAGCCATAGAAGATGGGGACCCAGAAATCCAGAGGCAGGCCAACCGCTCCGGCACGGCTCTGTCCACCTTCAGTGCCGAGACCTCTTGCACTGGCTGACGGCTAGTGCCACGAGTCTGCCGTGTACATGTGGGGTGGCCCCGTTCCTCTGCAGAGACTGGCCCCAAAAGCCAAAGCATTTGCTCTCTGGTCCCGGACAGAAGAGGTGTCCCAACCCTGGCCCAGCAGTCCCCAGCCCCGGAAAGCCCGGGCTGCCACCGAAATTACCTAGTTCAGCCCTTTGCCTCAGTTTTCCTGTCTGTGAAATGGGGCCAGAACCAGTAGCTACCTGGCGGTGTTGCCATGAGAGTGTAGGTGCACACGGGTGTGCCGTGTGTTTGTACGGATGCACGTGCGTGCAGCGCTTTTCTCCAGCACAGAGTGGAGTCAGCCATGCACAGGTCCCCCGCTTTTGCTGTCAAGACCTGGGGTGTGGAAGTTTGGGGGTTTGTGGTGTGGGGCTCTGTCAGGTTGTTGATGTCATCGTGCGGGGGCACTGGTGGGGCAGCCTTCTCAGCACCCCATGTGCTCCTCCTAGGCCATACCCACCTTCGACTTCCCCAAGACCCCCAGCTCCCAGAACTTGCTGACCCTCCTGGCCCGGCAGGGCGTGGTCATGACGCCGCCTCGGAACCGGACGCTGCCCGACCTCTCGGAGGCAGGGCCCTTCCAGGGGCAGCAGCTGGGCCCCGGCCTGCGGCCCGCTGAGGACACCAAGGGCCCCTTCGGCAGGTGAGTGGGTGGGACTCCCGTGGCACTGCCTGTCACATGCTCCCGAGTGGGAGGAGAGACCGGGGCCAGCGCCAGTACTCCGGGAGCGGGCCTGGACTTGGGCAGGAGGCTGGCCTGCACCTCGCTCCCTCAGAGACCTCTGAGCCCCAGCTTCCTTGTCTGGTCAGAAGGTGACAGTACCTGCCCCAGGGTAGGCGGGACGACCAAGGAGCCAGCACCTGGGAGAGGCTGTATGTGCCTGGCGTGCAGCACGCGCTTCGGCAGGTCGAGTTGTGGTGGGCGGGCCGGGCTGAGCCCCTGATCAGACTGCCAGGCCCCCAGGACCTAGTGCCCAGGCCTCTGGACCCGCAGGGCAGGTCATCGCTGCTCCTCACCCTGCAGGTCCCTCAGCACCGGCCGCCTCACTGATCTGCTCCTTAAGGCCGCGTTTGGGACGCAGGTCCCCGACTCGGGCAGCACAGACAGCCTGCAGGAGAAGCCAATGGAGATCGGTGCGCAGGGAGCTGGGCAGGGGTCTCCCTGGGCGGGGGTCTCCCTGGGTGGAGGCCATGGGAGTGGTGGTGGGAAGGCCCCTGAGCCTGTCTTCCTGCTGCCCCCCCACCAGCGCCTTCTGCTGGCCTCGGAGGGAACCTGCATTCGGGCGCCCGTGCTGGGGGCGCCAGCAGTCCTGCACCTGTGGTGTTCACTGTGGGCTCGCCCCCCAGCGGGACCACGCCGCCCCAGGGCCCCCGCGCCCGGCTGTTCTCAGGTGAGGAGTGCCACGGGGCCTGTGCAGGCAGCAGCGAGTAAATGGCACATGCCAGCTGGTCAGTAGCTGGGAGGTACTGCTGCGGTTCACGCGGGAGGTGGGAGCATGTCCTGAATTGGGGGGCTGCTGCTCACCGGCCGCTCCTTGCAGTGGGCTCCTCGAGCTCCCTCAGCTCAGCTGGCTCCTCCTCCGCCCGCCACCTGGCGCCCGGGGCCTGCAGCGAGGCCACCCCCGAGGTCCCTGCGCCTGGTCACTGCTGCAGCTTTGCCGACCCTGTCACTGCCAACCTGGAGGGGGCCGTGACCTTCGAGGCCCCTGACCTCCCCGAGGAGACCCTCATGGAGGTGAGGGCTGGCGCTGGGGCAGGCAGGGGGCCTGGTGGCACTGCCGTCCCCTGGCTGGAACACATGTGCCTCTGGGTGCAGCTGGGCAGGGGACTGTGAGGGGTGGGCTCTGCAGCAGCAGGGGCAGGCAGAGGCCTGTCGGGTCTGTGGACAACCCCCCCGCCCCGAGTCCAGCACTCTGACCAGTGCCCACAGCCGAGGCCCAGGCCCTTCCTCACTGGCCCTGGTTCCCCCCAGCAAGAGCACACGGAGATCCTGCACAGCCTGCGCTTCACGCTCGTCTTTGTCCAGCACGTTCTGGAGGTTGCTGCTCTGAAGGGCAGCGCCAGCGAGGCGGCCGGGGGGCCCGAGTACCAGCTGCAGGAGAGCATGGTGGCCGACCAGATCAGCCTGCTGAGCCGCGAGTGGGGGTGGGTGCAGCGGCGGGGCCCAGGCAGGGAGGCGGCCTGGGGTGCGGGGCCTCCAAGCCACCTGACGCGTCTGCTGCCTTCCAGCTTTGCAGAGCAGCTGGTGCTCCACTTGAAAGTGGCCGAGCTGCTCTCCTCGGGCCTGCAGACCGCCATTGACCAGATCCGGGCCGGCAAGCTCTGCCTGTCGTCCACCGTCAAGCAGGGTGAGTGTACTCAGCTCGTGCCCCCAGGAGCGTTGGCAGCAGGAGATGGTGAACTCGCAGGAGAAAGCCAGGGTGGGACAGGTGACCACAGGGAGAGAGACAGCAGGGCTCTTCTGAGGAGGTCACTTGGAATAGGCCCAGCCCAGGTCAGGGAGCAGTGAGGGATCCCATGGGTGGGCAGGTGCAAAGGCCCTGTGGCAGGGCCCTGGTGCCTCTTGGGGAAAGGAAGACCCAGTGTGTGTCGCTGGAGCGGAGCACATAGGAGATGGGGTCGGTCGGATGGTGGCCCTAGGGACGTGTTGAGGGCCTTTTGCCTGCTGGTCCTGTTGGTGCCCCTGCTTGGGATGGGCTGAGCTGATGGTGGCCGCACACCCCCTGCAGTGGTGCGGAAGCTGAACGAGCTGTACAAGGCGAGCGTGGTGTCCTGCCAAGGCCTGAGCCTGCGGCTGCAGCGCTTCTTCCTAGACAAGCAGCGGCTCCTGGACCGCATCCAGAGCGTCACAGCTGAGAAGCTCATCTTCAGCCACGCGGTGCAGACAGTATGTCGGGCGGGAGGGCGGGGCCGAGGTGCGGGCAGGGGAAAGTTGATGGCTGAAGCTTGGCTGGATTTGGGGTCATCATTCCCGGGGTGAAAAATCACACCTCATTGCCCCCCAGACAACAATGACAGATGGGACCGTCCAGGCCCCTCCAGAGCCCTGGGAGCTTGCCTGGGTTTTGGCCCCACTGCGTGCACTCTGCAGCCCAGGGGGCATCCTTGGCCACACGCCCCTTGAGACTCAGTTCCCCTAGCTGTAAGGTGAGAGGCCTGGTTTTCAAGCCTCTTAGCTGGCGGGGCGGCCTCCAGAGGAGATGGACGCAGGCAGCCCGGCTTGCTGGCATGGGGGACTCCGAGGGGCCCCCGGCCTGCTCTGCGCTCTGCTTCCGTTGCTTTGGGGTCCTTCTGTCCAAGAAGTGCTGCCTCTGAGGCAGTGCCTGGGTCTGAGAACGTTCATTTGTGTAGTAAAAATGCACAGTCTGAACAAGTGTTTGGGAAAAGTCTGCTTCCAAGCCCCTAAGCTCTCCCTGCCGCCCTCCCCCAGGGGCGACCACTGGTAAGTTACACCAGCACTAATAGTGACGATGCAGACGAGGGGGTGCTCTGCCCGGTGGCCCTGACTGTCTTAAGTTGGCCGGTTGTCTGATCTGTAACCCCTTGGCTACCCAAGGCCACACGAGCATCTGCATCACACGGGCGGCCCCCACACCTCCTGCACCATCATCTGTGTCCCCCAACATGAGAGCCACACGTGGGTGTTCGGTGCGGTCAGCCCTAGGTCCTCCCCCTCCCAGCCTCCACCCTTGCCCGAGCAGGTCCAGTCGGCCGCCCTGGACGAGATGTTCCACCGCCGGGAGGACTGTGTTCAGCGCTACCACAAGGCCTTGCTGCTCATGGAGGGGCTGCAGCAGATCCTCACGGACCAGGCGGACGTGGAGAACATTGCCAAGTGTGAGTGCCCACTGGGCCACTGTGGGCGGGGAGGGGGTACCGGCGGCCCACTCATGACACCCTCCCTCGCTGCAGGCAAGCTGTGCATTGAGCGGAGACTCTCGGCCCTGCTGACCGGTATCTGTGCCTGACCTCCCAGAGGCCCGGCCTGCCATGTCCAAGCTGCTGGACCTTCTCTGCCAATCCCGCAGGGTGGGGGCGGCATGCTGGCTGGGCTGGAGGGGATATCCTGTGGCCTTGGTACTGCTCACTGGTGCCCAGGAAAGGACTGAGGCTCCCTGCCCAGCGTCCAGAGCCAGGCCTCAAGCTGTGTCCCCGTTCCCTGGGCTCCGTGACAGTGGACTTCAGGGCACTGGAGGCCTCGCACAGAACCTCCACCCAGGCCGGTCCCCTGGTCTTGCTGATGGGCATGGCTCCTGGGCGGCAGTCAAAACTTCTCCCCCTCGGCTGCCTTCATGGCAAGTGGGGATGCGTGGTTCCCCTGACCCCACTGAGGACAAGCAGAGGCCCTGAGAAGGTGATGCCCATTCAAGCCAAAGCTGCCAGACCTGCCCAGTGGCTCCGCCCAGGAAAAGGTGTGGCCTCCTGGCTCCCCGCCTCTCCTTCCCCAAGACCAGCCACCCAGCTTTGTGAATCACCCAGCACTTTATGCAGGCGGACTTGAGCCAGGACTATAGTCCTGGTTGTTGCACTACAAGGCGCGTGTACATATCTATATCCACGTATATATATAAATAGCCCTGTGAGTGTGTATGGGCGTGCACGTGTGTGTGCTGTGCCTGACACCCGGGACCCTCTTTTGGGGAGACACAGCCATCGTATTTAAATGTTCTTTTAGGGTTGGACAGTACAAAGCACCGAGCTTTCTAAACTCAGCAGACGTTGCAGCCTTTCACACTTTACTCCTAAAATGTGTCTTATTTTTTGCACCTCCTTTTTTTCAAAAAAGAAAACTCGTAGGTATTGAGGACGTTTTGTTTGGAAGGGTTGGGCCTCGGCTTCTTGGTGGACGCTGAGGCGTGGGAGGTGGGTGGCATCAGGTGCCTATGCGTCTGCAGTGGCTGGTTGTCCTGCCTTCCAGCCTGTTAGGACAGCTCTGCCCCTGCTGCCCCCTCCCGCCCTGCAGAGGCGGGCAGGTGAGGGGAGTGTTTGTGCAAAAGCCTCCCCCATCCAGCTTTCACAGTAGGTTTTGATGTCAGAGTGCCCCGCCCCCCCTCCCCCAACCCCCGCTGCCCCCTCTAGGTCCTGGCCGCCATCAAGGGAGTCAAGTGAGGAGGCCTGCCTTCCAGGCTCATGGGGACCCTCCCAGTCTGCTCCCCTCAAGTGGATCCCCAAGAGTGCAGAGAAGGCCCGTGTGAGTCCAGGCATCCATGGCAAGGGGTGTAGGGTCTTACACCTCAGACAGAGGTCTGCCCGGGTGTTTCTCTGCAATACTTGAAATATCACCACTGTGCTTGGACTTAGAAAAGCCCTGTGACTTGTGTCTTTTCTCATCACGCGGTGACTATTCTTTCCTCGCTGCACAGAATGTGTTCGTATTTATTGCTTTACAGTCGACTGGAATCCCGGGCGCTGGGAGGCTGGCGCCGCAAGAGGGGCCTTGCGTAGCTTCCCGTCCTCGTTGTGTGGTGTGTGTGTGTGCCCAGGTCGGTCTGGGGCCCCAGCCTCGGGTGCCGCCAGCTGGTCCTGTTCTCCACTAGGCAGCGCTTGGGGCTTGGTCTGCTTTAAAAGGAATTTCGTGTGATTTTCCCCGTTCGTGTTAAATTGTGTACTAGCAATTTAAGGAAATAAACCTTCGGAATTGTTGGCGTTGGTGTCACTGATAGTTGGTTTGTCACTGTCTCTGTCCTTCTCTGTCACCTCCTTTCTTGTCACCTCTGCCCCCACCCCGGGTCCTGCAGCAGCACCTAGAGTTTGGGGCAGCCGGGCTCAGCCTGGGGAGCAGACCCCAGGGCAAGGCTGTGAGCTCAGGCGTGGGTTGGGGCTGTGTCCATCCCCCGGCCTGTGTCCCAGCAGAATCGCTCACCCAGGCGCTTGGGGGACGCCTGCCTCTCCGTTGTCTGGATTGTGTACACCGGAGGGGAAGACTCCTTGTTTAACTCACCTCCCGGGCACCAGCACCATTTCCACCCCCGCAGCGCAAAGGGCCCGCTGCCCTGGCCTCGCCCACAGCCACTCCTCTTGCCTATTGAGTCCAGCCGCCCCGCTGGCTATGAGGTGAAATTTGGCGTGGTTTTGATTTGCATGTCCGTGGTGATGAGTGATTTCAAGCATCTTTTCGTGTGCTTGTTGGCCATTTCTAGATCTTTTTTTTGGAGAAACGTCTATTCAAGTCCTTTGCCCATTTTTGAATTGAGTGGTTTCTTTTTTTATTGTTGAGTTGTAGGGTTTGCATTTTTTAAGCTATATCTTGTTTTTATAAGTTAAAACTAACTTATTATTACCAAAAAGGCTCACCGCAGTATTACACTAAAGTTGGTGGAAAGGGAGCCTTGGAGGAAGTAGCAATGCCTCCAAAGGCTGGGTCCCAGAGGGGCCACTCCAGTCTGGCTTCCTCGAGTGTCTGCAGACAGGAAGGCGTGCACTGCGGGATGCGGCACCTTCCGCTCTGTGGGGCTTTTGGTATATCAGAGACAGAAACACCCAGAGAGGATGGACAATCATGGCATTTTGTTGTTGCTAAATTAATGGACTTTACTTTTTAGAGCAGTTTTAGGTCTGCAGAAAAATCATGAGGAAAATATAGTATGCTCCCTCTTCCCTGCGCCCCCCCATTTCCCCTATCGTGAACACCTACACTGCTGGGGTACACTTGTTACAACTGGAGAGTCTGTGTTGACATGTCATCATCACCCAGAGTCCACAGTTCACCTGAGGGTAAACATAGGGCTCACTGTTGGTGCTGGACATCCTGTGGGTTTGGACAAATGTGTGACACACGTGTCCACCACGACAGCGTCCAGAGCAGCTTCACGGCCCTGAAAGGCCTCTGCTCCACCTGCTCCTCCCCCTCCCCCGACCCCTGGCAACCACGGACCTCTTTACTGTCCCCACGGTTGTGACTTTTCCACCGCGTCCTAGCGTTGGAATCACACAGTACGTAGCCTTCTCAGACTGGCTTCTTTCTCTTAGTAATGTGCACTGAAGGTTCCTCCGTGTCTCTTCGTGACTTCAGAGCTCATTTCTTTCTGGTGCTGAATAACACTGCATTGTCTGGATGGACCGCAGTTTTATTTATCCGTTCCCCACCGAAGGGCAGCTTGGTGCTTCCAAGTTGTAGCGATTATGACTAAAGCTGTATAAAGGTCCGTGTGCAGGTGCCTGATGGTAAGGGGTGGGCTGGGCCTGGGAGTGCAGTGGCCACGAGGGAGGGGCTGGCTCCCACCTTCCTGTCCAAGGACCTCATGTGCCCTGCACATTCCCAGCACATTCACAGTGTACCCAGGCCCACAGGTCCCTCAGCCAGGAGGCTGCGCGTGGCTGCCTGCCCCCACCTATCGCAGCCCCCTGGGCACCTGTGCCAGCCCCACAGGCCTCAGTTTACCCTCCAGAGAACAGAGATGCAAGCTCGTCCGCTGTAGCTGGTGGGCTCTGAGGAGGGAGCAGGTATGGTGGTCACCTCTCTGTTTTCCTCTCATCCTCTCTCTCACCTGACAGTGGAGTTCTGACCAGCCAGGGTGCTCACCTTCCTGCCCGCCCCACTCCTAACAGGACCTTGGGGCAGGGCCCGGACAGGACACATGCCTCCATCCTCCCCGCCTGGTGGCCTGGCCTGGGGCTCTCCCAGTCAGGGGCTGGACTTGGCACAGCAGGGGCTAGGTCGGTGCTGAGACTGACCTCCCCCTGGCCTGGGTTTCTGTTCTGGCACCGAGAACTTCTGGTCCATATGGGCCAGGGAGAGAGACTGATTCTGCTTTCCCGGTAGCACAGCTCCAAGTCTCAGGGTCAAGTGTCACCGGCTCTCACCGGCTGGTTTAGTCCCTCGGCCCATCTTGACCCATCACAGTTGTCCAGGTCGTGCACTTGTGGATTGGCTCAACCTGGGGCCTCCATGGGCTGGGGAGGGGCTCACACCTCCTGAGCTGCAGAGGCTGAGGGCAAGGAAGGAGCATTCCCAGCACCAGGAATCTATATGGGAAGCAGGGTGGGGGGCGCTCTGTGAAGGTGGGGATGCTGTGTGAAGGTGGGGTGCTCTGTGTGGAGGTGACCCAATGCTTCCTAATGCTGCTCAGCCACCTGAGCTCCCAGGTCCCATGTGATCTTGACCTTTCCTCCCCCCTTGGAACCCACAGGTGGCTCTGCCCCTTCCTCAGAGGGGAGGGCTGTCCTGGGGGCTTGTTTAGCACAGGGGAGCTGTCCCCTCAACTGCGTGAGCTCTTTCTTAATACGGCTGAGAGGAGCCCGAGTGGAGTTTGGTCCAGGAGAGAGTGCTGGTTCACAGTGCTAATGCCCTGTGTGTCTCTGGCCTCTGGATAGTTCACACACATGAATGACACGCTGTTGGCCTTTGCATCTGGCTTCCTCTCTGAGCATGATGTTCTCAGGGGTCACTTGCGCTGTGGCGGGCATCAGTACTTGTGATTCATTCCCACCTGGCACCTGTTACTCTGTTTACTGACGGGTTCTGTCCTCCCTGGACTACCCTGCTGAACATAAGCTTCCCGAGGGCGGGGTCGTCTCCCATCATGCTCCCTGGTCTCTCCCAGCCTCTGGAAGGGATGGAACGGAGGAGGTCTCAGTAAACAGCTACCACCGAATGGTGCCTCTCCAGGGATGTCCCTGTGAGTCCCTCGAGCCTCTGGCTGCACTGTCTTCCTCCTGGGTGCTGTCGCTCAATCCGCCCAGCTGCGACGACGTTGAGACGCCCTCCCAAGCCCTTGAGCGCTGACGGTTTTCCCATCTGTGTCCTCCACTGGTTCCTAGAGAGTCCTCACTCCTGCGAGCTCTGACACAAGCCCGTGAGCACCCAGCACAACGCTCACTCTCCCGGGCTTTTGGGCTCCTCTCTGGGCCTCAGCTGCCTCATCTGTAAAATGCGGACAATGGAACCTTACTCAAAGTCTCATGAGGATTTAACAAGCTACAATGTGTCAAGCGACTAGAACAGCACCTGGCACACAACACATGCTTTATTATTACTGACTTGTGAGATAAAAAGTCTGGGAAGGCGCTGGTCTGCACACTGCCAAGCCAAGCGTGCCTTCCAAAGACCAGGGTGGTGCTTTGCCACTTGGTCGAGCCCTTGCGGAGGGCTCCACCTCTCTGCAACTCAGGTTCTGCTTCGGTAGTGGGGGCCCTATGGTGCCTGCTCCTTAGGGCGGGGAGAGGATTGAGTGAGTTAACACAGGAAACACGGAACACAGCCACGTGAGTCTTAGCTGCCAGGACAGTCGTCCCTCTGAGTCGCGCAGCCGCGGCCTGCGGCAGGGAAGCCCCGCCCAGTCACGCCCGGAAGACTTTTGTCCGCGCCGGGCCGCCATCCGCCGCGCGCTCCACTTCCGCCTTCGCCCACGTGGTCCGGCTGGCGCTCAGTCCCCGGCGCCGTGAGTGGGGCCGGGTGGGGACGCGCCCCTCTAGTCCTGGCGGGGCCGTTGGGGTCTCCCCGTCTGTCGAGGGGAAGCTGGTCGGGTGGGGCTGAGGTCGAGGGGGGAGCAGGAGGGACGGGGAGGTCAGAGGTCAGCCTAGGGGTAGGGGTCGTCGGAGGTTAGCCGCGGGCGGGGCTGGAGCGTGGGAGGGTTCCGGGGGAGGCCGGAGATCAAGAGGGACGGGTCGGGGGTGCCGGGGGAGGTCGGAGGTCAGGAGGAGTGGGGCTGGGGCGTCGGGGCTCCCGGAGGAGGTCGGGGTCGGGCGCGTGCCCCCCGCCACTGCTGGCCGTGCATGGGGGTCCGCAGCCTGCGG